CTTGAATGATTCTTCTGAGGGCAAGTTGCACTTTGTGACTCGCTATATTGACGCACAACGCATTGGAGCTTTCTGCAAGACATACGGATTCACGCTATCCAATGTGATACAAGTAGCATGGGCCCTGGTCTTACGCTGCTACACCGGCACAGACGATGTTTGCTTTGGCTACTTAACATCTGGGCGAGATATTCCGCTCTCCGGTATTGAGAATTCGGTTGGCCTGTTTATCAATATGCTGGTGTGCCGCCTACAGCTGGACAGCAACCACCAAATGCTGTCAATTCTACAGAGAAATGAAAGCGACTTTATTCGCAGTCTCGACCACCAACATTGCTCGCTGGCTGAAATCCAGCATGACTTGGGCCTCAACAGGGAGCCACTCTTCAATTCCATCGTCTCTTATCAGGCCGCTTCCCCAGTACAGGAACAAAACCGTCATCAGGCACATGACAAACACGCGCTAGCCTTGGTAGAGACAGTTGGAGGGGAAGATCCAACAGAGGTACGGGTTCTTTATCCCTATTGAACGCCTGTTCGAGCACCGCAGGGTATATGCAAGAAAGAAAAGAAAATTTCGTAAGCTAAAATGCAATATAGTACGGATTGGTCATCAACGTGAATGCTAGCAGCGATCACGTCAGCCTCTCCCTCAGTTTCTGGGACACCTTCCTCTCTCCCGAACAAGGATCTAGACTCTGTGATAGTTTAGTGCAGACTATTTCGAGCATCATCGATGGTCCCTCCACAATCGTCGGCGACATTGACCTTGTTAGTCAGGAGGAGCTCAACGTTATTCACTCTTGGAACGCGCAATTGCCGAAGACAGAGGAAGTATGTGTCCACGACCTGATCTTTGATCAATGCCGGGTTCATCCTGGGGCACCGGCCGTCTGCGCATGGGATGGCACCTTCAACTACAAGGATCTGGCTCAGCTCTCTGAGGAGCTGGCCATACAACTTCAGACGCTCGGGGTTGGGCCTGATGTCTTTGTGCCACTACTCTTTGAGAAGTCGAAATGGGTCTCTGTGGCGATGTGTGCGGTCATGAGAGCCGGTGGCGCATTTATTCTGCTAGATGATTCCTATCCGGAAGCCCGTTTGCGTGAAATATGCGAGACTTCACGCTGCCCTCTTGTCATATCCTCGTCTTCCACCTATGGAAAAGCTGCGCCGCTCACTGAGCGAGTGGTTATGGTCTCTCAGGGTGAAGCTGCGCAATGGAAGTCAAATATAGGGACATTGTCTCTCCAGCAAAATGTCCTTCCTCACCACGCCCTCTATTGTGTCTTTACATCCGGTTCGACCGGTAAATCTAAAGGCGTGGTGATCGACCACTCATGCTATGCAACAAGTGGCCTATCGCTCCAAAAACGACTGAGAGTTACGGACGAATCTCGAGTATTTCAATTTGCTTCGCACGCGTTTGATGTGAGCATTAGCGACTACTTGACGACCTTCATAGCGGGCGGGTGCATATGTGTTCCCTCCGAGATTGAGCGAATAAACAATATCCCCCACGCGGTGCAAACACTGGATGCAAATTGGATGCACATTACACCATCTGTCGCGCAAATTCTCCACCCATCGCAAGTGGAAGGGATCAAGGTCTTGGTCTTGAGTGGCGAAGCTATCAAGCCGGAGAACATCACGACATGGGGACATTCAGTTCATCTCATCAATGCATACGGGCCAGCTGAGTGTTCTGTAGACTGCGTCGTCAACGATCAGGTGGTATCAAGTCCTTTAAGCATTGGAAACGCAAGTGGCGCAACCTGTTGGGTCACCGACAGAAATAATCCCGCTCGTATACTTCCTATCGGTGTTGTTGGAGAGTTGCTTGTCGAGGGTCCTATCGTCGGTCGCGGGTATCTGCATAATGAAGAACAAACTCGCCGAGCCTTCATCGAACGGCCCCCATGGCTTCAGTCTTTCAGAGGCCATGACGCTTATCCGCGGCACGTATACAGGACCGGAGATCTCGTTCACTATCTACCTGACGGCTCCCTGAAATACGTTGGACGCCGTGACAGCCAAGTCAAGATCCACGGCCAGCGTGTCGAACTAGAGGAAATCGAATCCCACCTACGCCGTTTCTTCCCAGGATCTCAGGATGTGGCTGTAGAAATTCTCCAACGGCCAGATGTCGCATCTCAGAAGGTATTGACAGCATTTATAAGACGACAGGCACTGGACTCTACAAGGCAAGAATTTTCGATTTTTGAATCCAGCCAAGAGTTTGTCACAGATGTCCACATTGCAGAATCGCGTCTTGTTCAGAATGTGCCTCGGCACATGGTTCCAGTCATATTTCTTGCTGTCAATTATATTCCATTGACTAGGTCGGGCAAGATTGATCGATCCAAGCTGCGTCACCAGGCAACGAAAATTTCATGGCCTGCCGGGGGCTCTAGTGTTGAGCACACCTCCCGACGGCCATTGACCGAAACCGAGCGCAAAATACAATTGATTGTTGCCCGAGTGTTGGAGGTTAGGCCAGATGTCATCAATATCGACGGCGACTTTTTCCAGATGGGTGGTGACTCAATCACGGCTATGCAGCTAGTATCCCTTGCACGTCATGAGGGTCTCTCAGTGACTGTAAGACAAATATTCATCTTGCCAGTACTAGTGGATCTTGCGAGAGAGATCCAACAGTCCACCACGTCCGTGTCGGACTTGGCATCGTACGTCGTGGAGCCTTCCAGTAACACCGACCACGAATTGTTGAGAGATTTGCCTTGGAAAGACCTGCCCTTCCGCAAGGATGACGTGGTTGATGTCATTCCTGCAACAATCGTTCAAGCCTTTTCTGCAGGCCGGCCGCAGAACTACTGGTTCTTGGAGCTAACAGGGCCACTGGACACAGCTCGACTGAAGCGAACCTGCTCAGAACTAGTCGAGAAACACTCGATTCTCAGGACGGTGTTTATCCCGCGTGCAGGCCAAATCTTGCAAGTTATCCTACGCAGCCTATCTCTGGACATCATCGAATGCAACGCCAATCAAAAGGACCTGAGGTCATTTGCGGAGGAATACAGTCGTCAAGATTTCCCCTCACAAACTCTATACGGATCGGTGCCACTGGCACTGACACTTGTGAGAGGCAGTGATGAACGCCATCTTCTCATAATGCGTCTATCGCACGCTCAGTATGATGGCCTATCCATACCCAAGTTGATGGCGAATCTTGTTGATTTGTATCATGAAAAATCCATCTCCGTCTCCACAGACTTTGCAACATATGTACGGCATTGTAACCGGAGCCAGAACGCAGCGACATTCGCCTTTTGGAGATCTCTACTTGATGGTTCATCCATGACTTCATTATTCGATCAGCCAGCAGCAACAGCTGCACTGAATGATTCCAGATCATCAGTCCTAGTCGAATCGATAGCAAATGTGCCCTTGCCAACGCCCCCACGGGGAATCACATTGGCCACCGTAGTGAAGACAGCTTGGGCTTTAGTTCAGTCGAAACTACTGCGGCGATCCGACCTTGTCTTTGGCCAACTAGTTAGCGGTCGCAACATGGGCGTCCTCGACCTGGAGGACGTCATAGGGCCCTGCATAAACATGATACCTGTGCGGGTTCAATTACACCCAGGGCAGACAATCAGCGAGCTTCTGAAGCAAGTGCAGGCGCAGCATGTGGAAACGATGCCCTTTGAAACGACGGGGCTGCAGGAAATTGTCAAGAATAGCACTTCATGGCCGGCGAACACCGACTTTGGGTCCATCGTCCACCACCGGTTCTCCCAGGATCAAAGCGCGCTGGAATCCAACGAGCTGTCATGCCGGATTGACGCGTGGTCGCCCCTTTCCCTACCTGCAATGAATGTCTGGGTGTCTACCATAGCGGAAGAAGATGGGTTGAGCATCAACATTTTCTCTCGCGGTGAGGTTGCGACGCAAGCTCAAATCGATCGCTTGATGGAAGAGATGTCTGCCATGTTGGCAATTTGCAGAGAAGGCGTGTGCGTGCCTGGTGAGGACAGTTATGATGACTGGGTCCATGTGTAACGTCTGTCATATAACATGAGCAGTATTTTGTTATGGTTCAGGGGAAGAAAGGGAGTTGAATGGTTGACAATTATTTAGTGATTTCTTTATATGGTGTGTTATTGTTTCATACGGTTATATTATTTTCCATCATTTTTTGCATATTTTCTGAATTATCTTGATCGATATGCTTATATCCAAGGGTGTGCGTTTCTATACATGCAACAATATCTCATTTCTAACCATCTTATCCCCAGGTAGCCATGTAGCCGAGGGCCGACAGTTGTTCAAGAATACCGTATCCCTCTTGCGGTGTATGGAAAGAGACGAGAAGTCCGGTCGGAGTACTCCGTACGGGTTAGGGTAATGACCGCACCGAGAGGAGTCGGTTCCAAGACCATTTTCTTTGCATTGTACCCTGAAGCACATGCATGAGCAGATGTCAGAATAATTGAGAATGTGCCTCTGGAGAAGATCTATCACATTTTTGGTGTGACAGGGAAAAAATACACAAAATACCTCACACACCTTCCGCTCTGTCTTTCCGTGGCGAGACATTTTCAGTTTTCTACGGATGAAAAGACATCATTCTGGTACGTCTCAGCTCTGCCAAAAGCGCCACAATCTGAAAAGGTACCAAAGCTTATCCAATGGCATACTACCCCGTAACCACCATAGGGTCACACTCAGACACGGCAGAGAGATCCCTGCGACGGGTCAGGCTCAACCTGCGGGATTTGAAGAAAGTCTTAAATCAAACCACGCGGTTGGTTAGTCGATCCTGAATAGTCCCAAACGGTCGAAGAGGGGTAAAGGTTCCATTACAGGAAACATGGAACCCATGAATACGAATAAGGGGAGGGCAGGACGACGGAGGGATGGCCTATAAAGGAGATTCGCACATGGCAAAGCTACAATTCGCATCTTTTGCAATGCCCATGACTGCAGCATAACCACTTCTTGTCATACCACTACTCCGTACTTGGAACTTACAAGTCATGCCTACCAACGGGCATAGGAAGGAGCCGAACGGAGAAGACGGCCTACTTAATGGCTCATCGACCCCGGAGAAGACGTTGCGGCGCGCAGAAGAGACAGACGACTTGATCAACGCCGTAAAGTCCCTCATCATCCCCTACATCAGGGCAGCAGACGAAGCAGCAGACACCAAAGCAAGCGGTTGCCCTCAGCGAGATTCCAATGGCTGTCCGCGGAACGCACTCGTCGAGCCGTACTCCCCCTCCGAACTCGTAGAGCGCCTCGGGTTCTCGTTGCCGCAGGACAAGGGACAAGGCAAGGACGGCCTCATGACGACTATCCAGGATGTCCTGCGGTACAGCGTCAACACGTGGGACCAAGGGTTCCTGGACAAGCTAACAGCCAGTACAAACGCCGTGGGTGTGGCATCGGAACTCGTGCTGGCCGCGCTCAACACAAACGTCCACGTCTTCCGTGTCTCCCCCTCTCTGACCGTCGTCGAAAAGGTCACGGCGCGCACTCTGGCGTCTTATTTCGGCTTCGAGGGCCCCCACGCCGGCGGAATCACCTGCCAGGGCGGCAGCGCTTCGAACCTGACGTCGCTCGTGACGGCCCGGGGCGTCCTGTACCCCGACACGAGGCTGCTGGGCTGCCAGGGACACCGATTTGCCATCTTCACAAGCGCACACGGCCACTTCTCGGTCGAAAAGGCCGCGGTGACCTGCGGCATGGGCACGTCAAGCGTTGTCTGCGTGCCGGTAGACAAGGCCGGACGCATGATGCCCGCGGCCCTGCGGTCTCTGGTGCTGGAATCCCAGACCCAAGGCAAAACGCCGCTGTACGTCAACGCGACGGCGGGAACGACGGTCCTGGGGGCGTACGACCCGCTCCGCGAGATCAGGGCCGTGTGCGACGAGTTCGGCATGTGGCTGCACGTAGACGGCTCCTGGGGCGGCTCCGTGTGCTTCTCGGCCAAGCAGAGACACAAGCTGGATGGCGCCGAGCTGGCCGACTCCATCGCCATCAACCCGCAGAAGATGCTCAATGTGCCCATGACGTGCTCGTTCCTGTTGACAGGCGATGTGCGCAGGTTTCACGCCGCCAACTCCCTGCGCGCTGGGTATCTCTTCCACGGGGAGGAGAGCGATGATGACGTTTGGGACCTGGCGGACTTGACGTTGCAGTGCGGGCGGAGGGGCGACAGCTTGAAGCTTGCGCTTGCCTGGGTCTACTACGGCTCCCGTGGCTTCGAGCAGGGCATTGATCATGCTTTCGACATGGCGCAGCGGCTGGCTACCCTGGTGGACAGGTCGCCTGGCTTTGAGCTCGTCTCGACAAATCCGCCGCCGTGTTTGCAGGTTTGTTTTTACCATGCGCCTGGTGGCCGGGCCCCGGACGATGCTGAGGAGAATACGATGCGCACAAGGGAAATGGTGCAGAAACTGGTGGTTCGAGGCTTCATGGTTGATTTTGCGCCCGGCCCGAAAGGCTACCTGTTCAGAGTCGTGGTGAACTGTCAGACACTCGAGGGAACTGTGGATGGTCTTTTCAAAGCTCTGTGTGATGTTGGGCGAGATGTTTCTGGTGTAGACGAGAACAAGGTCTCTGCATGTAGTTAGAGTTGGGCTTTACATTCTTCCGCGTTCAGTCTTGAACTATACACACACTCGGTATCACTCAACTGTATCGAGGGGACAAACGATGTGTCGAGGTTTAAAGGTCCAAGTTCATTCATAACCGGCATTATAAAGGTTGTCATGATTCGAAAACTCAACGGGCTGATTCAAGGCCAGGTTGCGGGAAAGGAAACAGAATATAGAACGGAGAGCTGCTGATGAAGGACTACTGCAACATAAATCCAACTTGGTATTGTTCTCTGCTTTCTCCCAACGGCCCTTGCGGTTTTGCCTAGGATATGTCATTTTTATCATTCCGGAAATGGCGCAAGGAGGTAACCAACAAGTCATGATCCGACCAATGCCACCCACACCAATTCCCGCCCAGCGCAATACATGAAGCACAAAGTCCCCAGGATATTGCTCCCTTGGATTTTCTTCCTTGTCTAACAGCCTCACCCTAAAACCAACTACCCTGTTCAACACACGAGCAATGGCCACCGAGGAGGGCCCTTCGTTTGCCGACGCCATCAAGGTCAAGAAGCTCGATTCGCACAACTGCAAGGCCAATTTGCACGCGGCTTTTAGCATCGGTGCCGGTACGTCCATCATCCGTTGGCACCGACCTGGCCCTTGTTCTCCTGGCTAACAGGCTAATATGACTGCTTCTAACAAAGAAGAAGTCGAGAGTGTTGTCTTGGAAGAGATTGTTGAGATCAAGACACCCTCAACTTTTGATGTAGTCGCGGCCAACCACGTCTTGAAAGGCGGTATCCCGAAGCACCACGGCACCCTGAGCAACTCCTGCGACGGGTGGCAAATAAGAGACGACTTCTTCATGGACTGCCTCTATTTGCTCCCTGCTGGTTACATGGCGAGCGCGAATCGTGACACGAGCTCCCTTGCTCTTTATTTCGTTCAACCGAGCCTCTTGGTGCTTGGAGTGTCGGCTGGTCATAAGAAAGTGTCGAGCTCCTTGTTGCACCGTCCACTCGCAAAACGACAAGCCAAGGCTTATTGTGAGTCCCACGAGGCAATATGTGCGATCGTTTCGGAATGAGACGTGGGTGTCTACCGGACAGACATGAAGAGGAACTTGGGGGCGGCTGTCTGGCTCACAGGCAGGGGCATACATATGAATGTTCCTTCAATGTTCTTTTAATAGATGGTCAGAATGACAGGTTTGGTGATCCACAGGTCAGTCAACACGAAAATAAGCATTAATAAGCATTGGTAACTGCTCTTGGGCGACCAATGTTGCAGGCTGCGTATAATAGCCGCGGGAGGCTAACATAAAAGAATTTCATCGTCCTAGGAACTTGACATCGTTTGTTAACCCATATAAATACGCTTATCTTGTCGCCTAATATGGCAGCATCTAGTTAACTACGCTGTACGTGAACCATGTTCCACAGCTATAGACGTCTGGTGCGAAATATCCTCACCACAACGAAATAGCCAACAGTCACTTGGAAAGCCACAGACCAGTAATATCTTGGACGCAGACCCCAAACTCACGGTAGTCTACATTCTTCATTTTATATTACATGGTGTGTCGTACTACTGGTTGGAAATGACTCTGCAGCACTCTGCAGAACCGCTCACCAATGGGCAGTGAAGAGGATCGCATTATGTTTCAGGTATTGTCCCTGCTGATAGGCACCTTGACGGCTTCATAAAGTCAATGGGCTGTGTGAGCTCTCTTTGCTCAGCCCATTTCACGACATCATAGGATGAGGTGCAGTGAATAAATAACGTATGGCTCACTCGCCTTCATCACTTCGACTTGGCTATCCAGCCAGATGCCGTTGCTAACGAGATGTATATATATATATCAAGTATATATGTATTTTTTTCCTTTCTGCCTCTTCTCCTATAGTAAATCACGACTGCCTTGAAGCAACTTCACCAAAATGCCATTCGCAGCGTACAACAGCTCGGCACAAATGGCACAGTTCATCGTGCTCTTGATCTTCACACCAATAGGCATCTTGGTCACGGTGCTGCGCTTCATCGCTGCCCGCCGCAGCCAGCGCAACACAGATATAGAAGATTGGCTAGCCGTGCTGGCAACCGTCTTCTTCGCAATGTGCAACCTTTCTGGTCTCATGGGCAAGTCGGCACATGGACACGCCGTTTGCCAAGAAATACTTTACTGATCAATGCCCGACTATAGCTATCAGCATCATCAACGGCAGGACCCTCGAGCAGGAAGTCGGCGAGTCCCCCTCTGACTACAAGCTCATGCGCAAGCTAAGTCGGACCCAGATGTCGACTCAAGTGCTACAAGACGAGATGCTTACACGCGGAATACACTAGTGGGACATGGTCGGCCTTTATATGTTCTTCGGGCACCTGCTCACGGTCAAGCTCCGCATTCTAGCCTTATATCGCCGCATCTTTGGCATCCATCGCACCTATCGGTTGTGGATTTATGCCTTTGCCGCATTCCAGACCGGGCTCATCGTCATATTCTGCATCGTGCAAGATATAAGTGCAAGCCTTTTGGCCGATACTTTGACGTCTCCGTCCCAGGCGATTGTCAGCCGGAGAACATCATCGTTTTGGGGGGGCAGTGTCCCCGACACGTTTGTAGACTTTAGTTTAGTTGTCCTCGCAATGGTCATGATTCGCCAATTACATTTGACATCTTCTGTCAAGTGGAAGCTCCGTCTACTGTTTGGAGTTGGCTTCGTGTAAGTATGGCCAGCACATGCAAAGACAAGTGCTAATTCTGACTACAGAGTCGGCGCCATTGGCTTCATAAAAATTGTCATTACCTATTCCACGGACTCTTTCTGTAAGCTGATTATAAGGATGGTCGATTTTCCCCAATCCGGATGCTAGAACCTGTTGCGGCTAATACCTCCATGCTTCAACTAGATGCCTTTAGCATGATCTCTCTCTGGAGCTGTGTGCATATGTTTCTGTCGTTGGTCTGCGCCTGTCTCCCCGTCTACTGTCCGATCCTACCGAGCAGCGTGCTTCTGCACCAGTTCTTCATTCGTATCACGAGCTACGCCAAGAATTCCGGGAACAAATCCTCGCCCCCTAGCAATATACTTGGAGCAGAGGACGGCGACAGCACAAAGGGTCTTGCTGCATGGACCGAGGCACCTCGTGGCCACGGTAGATATCCTCTGAGTGTGATGACTGCCAGGACGCCATGCTCAGCCAAACCATGTGAGGTTCATGTGAGGAAGGAATTCGATGTACGGGGCCCGGATGAGTCGTCAAGCGGACATATATCGTGAAATGGCTAGCTATGCTTTAAGAAAGAAAAATAGTAGATTGGACCCTTGGATTGATCTGAGAATAATTAAGCTTTTATTTGCACAAGGTCAGGATAGTAGTAGTATTGGTGCGGAGTAGTTGCTTCGTTTTGGAGTTGTGTTGGCGCGTCTCTACGACAGCCACGTAGCTGTTGGCTGTGCTATTCTTTTAACTCATATCGTTGTCTGTAATGAGGATGTCCATGAGTTACGCCACAATGAGTTACATATCCTCTGCGCTGGTGCCAACAGACAAGGCACTCAAGCGTTGTTGGTTGTTCTCCTGCCCCAGCGTTCAGCCAACAGGTTCTCGGTGTCAGACTCCGTTGGGTACCGCTTTTGATAGCTCACACAATACGGACGCTCACAGAGTACTACTTGTGGCTATGCCAAACTCGTGCGTCCTTTCGAGGCGAGGCGAGCAAAATACTGCGCTCCGCCGACCCCAACCTCCGGATTCCGGCACGGCTTTCATGGGTGTTGGGACCCGGTAGGTCGAAGTTGGTGGCCAAGATACTATTTCCAGCACAAATGTGACACGATGCTGACGAACCAACGGCTCGGCAAGCATACGGAGTAAGCAACCAGACCCAACATTCATGCGTGTCATGGTCCGTGGCGGAGCACAGAGGACACGACAATGACACAAGATCTCATGAGCAAACAAGCATCAGAGTTGCAAATATGCCAATAGCACGTGATAGGGGTCCCAACGTCAAAGCTTCAAGTTCCATGTCCTCAGAGAAACAACCCTCCATTATCTCTGCGGCCAACTCAAACAAGTCGCAAGCCAGTAGCGAGTAGCCTCCACCCATCTCAGCCCTTTCCCTTCACAGACTCTATAGTCAATCTATCATGGCTTTTTTGCCTGTTGAAGAGCCGGGTGTCGGGCCGCTATTGGCCTATATGGCCTAGACCGTTGGTGCCTCCAGCCCATGCCTGCCTCGAGCTGTAGAGTACAGTCTAACTCAATCTGCTTTCTTGCTTTTGCTTACAAAACAATGCTTGCCTAGATGTTCTTCTATCTTTCCGCGAGGTCAATTTGGCGGTTACACTGTCACCCGCTTGCCAAGTTTCCAGGGCCTAAGCTTGCTGCGATTTCCGATGCTTGGTACGCATATCACTCGTAAGTGAACAAGTCATGTATTCCCGCCTATAAAGGTGTAACTCGCTAAATAAAACCCAAGGTTAGCAGGACGATGGCCCTGGGCTGTGGAAGACGCCATCAAAAAATACGGTCTGGCAATCTTAACGTTTGTATATGTGTGTATTTGGACCTGCTGACCATGGCATGAGAAACAGGCAGCATTATTCGAGTCGCACCCAACGAGCTTGCATTCTCCTCTCCTCACGCATTCACTGGTAAGATACTGCTAACCCAACGAATTTTAGTTCAAGTCTGGTAGGCCGAGCTAAAACAACGTCTTTTCCAGATATATATGGCTCTCACGATAAATACGTAGAGCTATTTGCCAAGACGCAAATTAACAATCACGGAAACGACAAGCATGGCGGCCTTGTCTGGGAATGGGATCCCATCAGACACCGTCAGGTATCTAAGCAAATGACTGCTGCATTCAGCGGGCGAGCGCTTCGCGCCAAGGAGCCTACAATTCACAAATACGTAGACCTCTTTGTGCAACGCATGAGATCTCTGGCCACATCTGCAGAGGGCATCAGTCTCAAGACATGGATCAGTTGGCTCGCGTTTGACATATCCGCCGATACGGCTTACAACCGGCAAATGAATGCTCTCCAAGACAGTACGTGGCTCCATGTCAGAATAAAGGCAGAGGAAAACTAAACACTCTAACCTTGTACAGTGAAAGAGCCCCCATATCTCACAATCCTCACCGAGTTCAACAAGGCCGTTGTTGTAATCCAGACGAGCTGGAGATTTCCATTCCTAGCCCCTCTAAAATACATGTACCTGCTGCTCATTTCGAGAAGATCGCACTCGGACGCTCGAAAGCACAGCCGCCAGCTCTTACAGAAGCGCATCCAGCAAGAGGGAAACGTGGAGCACCCCGATTTCTTCGAGCAGCTCATGCCGCAGAACCGAGAGCTCCCGGATCGGCAGGAAATGCGCCATCTGGAGCAGGTAGCAGGCCAGTTGCTCCTGGCGGGCTACGAAGGCCCCTCGACTTGGCTGTACCTCACGACGTACTATTTAGCAAACGACCAGAGGATGCTCGAAGCCGCGACTAGGGAGGTTAGAGAAGCGTTTGAGAGCTATGACGAAATCACGGCGACTTCTGCAGCCAAATTGCCCTACCTGGCGGCTTGCTTGAGCGAATCCCTGCGCCTGATGCCCTTGATCCCCAGCGGGATGCCTGTCGTCAGCCCCGGCGCCATGGTTGACGGACACTTTATTCCCAAGGGTGTAAGGAGACTCCATGTCTATATCCGGCTGTGTCCTCTTTTTCCGTCGATATGCTAACCAGTGATGCGTCGTCTAGGTGGTATGCCAGACCAGCCCTACGGCACTTGCTCACGATGGCTGTAATTTCCACGATGCTCTGCGCTACCGCCCCGAGAGGTGGCTGCCGAAAAGCCATGCGTTGTATGATGGTGATTTTGCGACGGACCATCTGGACGCTTCAAAGCCCTTTAGCCAGGGGCCTCGGATGTGTCCCGGGAAGGAGATTGCCATGTGGGAAGGCAGAATCTATGCGGCCAAGGTGCTGTGGACGTTTGATGTGAAGCTGGTCGAGGGGCAGAACATCGACATGGCTAATGATTGGAAGGCATGGGGCATGTTTGTGAAGCCCGATGTGCGCATTCGATTTGTGCCGAGATGTTGAATGACGAAGTATGAGTATTTCTCTTTGTCCTTGTATTTCATTAAAATTTTGGTTGTTTCGAATGTCATGATTTTACGGTTGCGCGACTTGAAGAGCCGGACTTGCGATCAATCATGGTTTGTCTGGCTTAGCCTGGAGAGGCAACATTTGAACATTATGCAATTCTGGGTTGCAGCGACAGATATGTCCAGGTTGAGGCAAATGCGAATACGGCCTTTGTGTATAATTAAATACCAGAGTTATTCAAAGAGCCACCCAGAACGCGAGAGATCTAGTTAGGATAGTCCAGTTGAGGTCATGGGAGTTGTTGATTCTCAGACTTTACAACCCCGCGTTGATTCTGTGGTCATACCGTCAACCGGGCCGTATTAAAAGGTCGCACGGGTCCGATCGGCGTGGCTGTGGCTTTCCGATTAGATATGCCCAACTACATATAAGCACCCGCTAAGCTGTTCCCAAATAACCTTGGTCCTGCCTACATATGCAACTAGGGTATCCTTGAATGTCTAGACATCTTGGAGGGGTCCAGCGGTGACGACGCCAGCATCTCGGATCATTCGGCATCAGGCGAGTGATGTAACGGCCCGCACCGCACAACATACCAGGCATCAATTACCTGAGAGCTTATTCTGTTGCCTAGTAGCAGGCAGGTAAAAGTGCTGACGAACGCTTGCGTTGGCCCCTTTTGCTCATGCTCCGGACGGGTTAGGGTTGGCTGTTGAGTCTGTTCAAGCCCGGACGTAAAGACACATTGGTCTCTGTTCTAAACACAAAACCAACAATCCTCTCGCCATCTCAACTTCATCTTACGCAGCGCCTTGGTTATACTCAATATCCACTACGGCCATGAGTCAACAGAGCCCCATCAAGATTCAACTGCTGACCGTTCCAGACTGCCCGTTGGTAGCCAAGGTCCGTGACACACTCAACAACTGCTTGGCAAAAACACGCTCAGGCGCAACGGTCGAGGAGCTTGTGGGAGAGTATCATTCTCCAACGCTTCTCATCAACGGCTTCGACGTCACCGGTAAGCCCGTCTCAGCACAAGGACAACAAAGCTGCCGTCTCGATCTTCCCAATGAGGAGCAGATACTTGCTGCTCTTCGGGGCCTGCCCGTTCTAAGTTGCGAGGATGAAACAGAGGCAGCGGTGGGAAAGTCTGCTTTTCACATTCTGCTACGTACCGCAGGGCGTGTCGCATTGGAACAGGTCAGCCAAGAGACTGGTAGAAATACGGACGACATCAGGACCGGTATAGAGGCGCTTCGGCGCAGGGGCCATGTCAAGATAGATAAACAAGGCTTCATCATTGGGGTTGCTGGATTGAGTTGCATTCCCACAGAGCATCAACTTTCCATCGAGGGGAAGAGACTCTGGGCTTGGTGTGCCTTTGACGTGATTGGCATTTTTGGTGCTCTTGAGGCGTCTGGATTCGCGACATCGGCAGACCCGGCTACTAACGAGCGCTTGGTCGTCAACTTTGTCAAGGGTGTTCCTGATGAGACGGGGCTTGGGGTTTTCATGGCAGACATGCCACCGGGGGGCTCTGTCTGCGAGGACTGGTGTTGGAGAGTGCGATTTTTTCAGTCCGAGTCGGCGGCTGAGGCTTGGGCCCGGGCGAACGGTGTCACGGGTTCTCTTATATCTGTGGCAAACCTGATGGTATCGGCCCGCGAAGCATGGAGTAGGTACGGGTTGTCTTGAGGATAGACTGGCGGAATTGGTATGACCTGCCATCTGAGAGCGGGAAGCTCCATGCAAGTCATAGTTCTCTCAGCTCTGTAAAGATGACTTCTTGTTCGTGTTTTCTATGGTGTGTTCGTGATAGCAGAGTGGCGGTTCAGAAGAAATAATGATTCTAGCTACTAGGTGGACGTTTCTTAATTAAACCGGTCGACATGTCCAAGTACACAGTTGCTCTCTCCGAAATGTCCGCATTCACTTCTCCGTTCTGAATGCATCTTTTGCCCACGGCCCAGGAGCGGGAATGTAGGTCTACGGGATTTTGCAAATGTAGCAAGATTGAGCTGGCTCAACCGGCATTTTGGATAGTACATGTCGAACTTGTCAAGTAGAACTAGAATGAGTACGCGACCCTGTGGCCGTCAAGGGTGATGAGGACAAAACTGAGTACCAACGGCTCAGCCGGTTCTATTTCACATGAACCCGCTCATACTATAAAGTATTCTACGCCGAGTACGAGGTTATCCTCTCAAACAGTCACAGCTTCGCGATACGTCGCTTACAATGCCTTTGCCGAAGCTACCGACCTGGCGTTACATCCGGACTTCAGCTGCCTACAACCCTGCAGGTGTCTTATATGCTCGTCTTGGTCCGGCTCCTCGGCAGGTCCTAGCATTCGAGTTGCCTGGATGCTGTGTAACTAAAGCAACTGAACCCCAGACTTTAGAGTGGCCGCCCTATGTAGTACATAGATGCGAAATACATTCCACCGGGCTGAAGATACTGAGATGACGCAGTATTGCTACGGTCGCAAGCTGTCCTGATGCATCTAAACACCTATCCACTCATATTGAATAATACAAGCAGCTGAAGCTCTATCGGCCGCGGCACACACAATAATTCGTACATGGAGCTCCATTTAGCCGACTCATGCCTTGCCAGCCGGGGGACAAAGCAATACAACACCATCCAGCAGGTGACAAACAAAAGGTTCGCGTACGGAGTGCCTAGCCTCAAACATGCCATGATTGCAACGCGTAATCAAGCAATTGACCAGCCTTGGAGCCTTAACGGTCACAACAAGTCCACAAAGAATCGAAATTTCCTCGGCCGCATGCCCCCAGAGGTACAAACTCCATTTTTTAATTGAAATGTCGATCTTCCCGTCCCCAGTTCCGCCGCGCCGCAAATGACACCCTGCATGGTGAAATTGGGGTGTCGGCATGCGGAGGATTCGAGGTCATGCCGTGCGAGCCAGTTGTCCATCTCTCAAACGGCCATGCTGCGTGTAAATGCCCAATATCAACGATTCCAAGTCTCCTTGTGCCGCGTGAAAGCCCCGCAAAGCTCCGTGTTTCGATGCCTTCATCCGATGACCTGTCGAAAGAGACCGAGTCGGCCTCGACCAGCTCGGAGTAGACTTTCCCTCGCGACAAGGATCCATGTAGGGGAGCCGCTTTGCGCATGCTCCCAATATCCTTTTCGGTCAGGCTAGGCTCGGCCGGAGCCGCAGGGCCGCAATCTACATGGTTGGTCGATTTCACATGTCTGGATTGAACGTCGACCCGTGATCGTGGGCTTCCTATCCCGGTGCCGGGACTCTCTAGCATTCGGGTTTGACAACCACGCCGCCGGTGCGTGGGAGCTGGCTAGTCGTCGGGATAGCGTCATCTGGGCCTTTTCCGGCATTTTCTCCTTTGTCAATATGAAATCAGGGCACGTATTGACAGGGTCGTGTTGCCATCATCTCACGGAACTACCTGACGAGGTGTCGGGAGACCATCTTCGGGCGTGATAACCCCAGACAAACATCGGGCGACTGAGCTTAACAAACCGCCTGCAGAAGAATTCCTCGGAGATATCAAGTATTACCTGCTTTTCTGCTGCAACGTAGCCGGTGAAGTATAGACGAAAGTGCCTGTGATGATGGTTCAGTCTGCGTTTGCTCCTCGGAGCAGAGTGCTCACGTCTGAGCTGAGAAAATGGTCCGTCTAGAACAAGTATTGCCGGCTCATGATTTTTCTATTTAATTCGCCCTTTTCCCTCAACACCCTTCGTCTTTCTTCATCTGCTTGTGTCATCATCCCCAGTCCAACGAGCCTCAGACCACATCGCCACGATGCTCATCGCGCGGTATTTCTCGCTCCTTGCCACCTTGGCCTGTGCCACGGCGGCGCCTTTAATAGAGAGAACAGGACTCTTGCCTCCGAGTCAAGATCCGTGGTATGAGGCGCCCAAAGACCTCGATGCCCTTGCGCCCGGCTCCATCCTGAAGAGCCGGAAGCCCCCGGCTCCCATTGCCGCGTTTGGCATCGAGTCGGTCAATCTCCAAGCCGCCCATCAAATCATGTACAAGACGACCAACAGCTTCAACGGCTCAACAGCAACAGTCACAACCGTCCTGATCCCCCACAACGCAGACCTGACCAAGGTACTCTCCTACCAGTCCATTGTCGACGCCGCGTCCATTGACTGTGCGACATCCTACGCTCTCCAGCTGGGGTCCAAGTCTGGCGTAGTCTTTGGCACATTCACAACCCAAGCCGAACTGTTCCTGATTGCCGCCCTGTTAGACAAGGGCTGGGTGGTTGTTCTGCCCGACTACTTGGGTCCGCACTCTGCCTTTCTCGCCAACAGACTCGCCGCGCACGCCGTGCTGGACGGCATCCGGGCCGTGACCAAGTCCACCGCCTTCACGGGCGTCCAGCACAACGCCACGGTTGCCCTATGGGGGTACTCGGGGGGCAGCGTCGCAACCGGCTGGGCGGCCGAGCTGCATGCCTCGTACGCGCCGGAGCTCAACATTGTCGGGGCCGCGCTCGGCGGCACGGTGCCGAGCATCCCCCCCGTCGTCAAGGCCGTCAACAAGGGCTACGCCGCGGGTCTGTTGCCCTCGGGCTTCCTAGGCCTGGCGGCCGAGTATCCCGAGCTCAAGGGCATTATTCACGAGCAAGTTGTGCCGAAGCACAGACCGGCCTTTGAGAAGGTCAGGAAGCAGTGTCTGGTGGCTGATCTGGAGGAGTTCTTCTATGAAGACGTCGTCGCCATGCTCGAGGAGCCGTCTATTCTTACATCCGGCGCGCTTGCCACCATTCTCGGCGAGGTCGCGATGGGCAAGAGCGCGCCAAAGATGCCGCTTTACGTGTACAAGCCCGTTCATGACGAAATTAGTCCCGTGGTCAACACGGACGACTTGGTCGAGTTTTACTGCGCCAATGGCGGTTCGGTCCAGTACGAGAGGGACTGGGTTTCCCTTCATGGCACGCTGTTGGCTACCGGGGCGCCGAAGGCGCTGTCCTGGTTGATCGGCCTTGTGG